AGGATCCTGACGAAGAAAAACCACTGCGGGGGCAGGAAGCGTTTAGCCCAGAGCACGGAGGGAAGGTACGTCTTCAAACAGTTGATAAGAATTTGGATTCGGAATCTGAAGGCTGAGGAACCACAAGCAGAAACTGAGCATTTCCTGCAACTAACAACACAGGACTTATTATAAGGAAATGAGCCTTGCAGAATGAGAATAGAGTGGGGGGGACCTAAATGAGGGTTAAGTGAAACTGAGCCTCAGTTTCTGCATCTGTAAAATGGGGATAACAATACCAAACTCACGGGGGATTAAATGACATAATGTAGGTGAAATGATTGGCACGGGGTCTGGTGTACAGTAAATATGTACTAAATGGTGATTGTGATGATTTTCACGAAAGGATTGATGATGATAATGGTGATGATGGTGATGATGGTGATGGTGTTGGTGATGATGGGGATGATGATGTTGGTGCTGGGGATGATGGGGATGATGGGGCGGCGGTGGTGTATTACTTAGGGTAAGAAATGTCTGCCACTGAATATAGAGGTGAAAAGAGCTCAGCCAGCCTCTTCTAGAATGGGAGAAAGAACAAGAGCCTCTCATCCTGCTTTTGTTCCCATAACCTCTTCTCGTGGTTAATGCACATACCGGGCAGAGTTGCTAAAAGCCTTGGCAGAAGAGCCACAGGAGGACGGAGTGAGAGAAGAGAAAGCTCTCAGGGCCTCCAGGCCCCTCTCCCTATCACTCCACCAGCCTACTCACTTGGGGACCCGGTGTGCCCTGGGACTCCTGAGAAGGACAGAGGAGCACGGGCTGAGGTGGGGGCTCAGGACTCAATGTTTTTCCGGGCTGGGAGCACAGTGGGAGGGGGTGGTGGGCACTTAGAAGTTGGAACATCTGGGAGAGGCAGGCTGAAGAGCGGTGGAATCACATGTGTCCTCTGAGGCACGGCCCTGCATCTACAGAAGACTGGTATCAGCATTCAGCAAATCTTTATTGCGTGCCTCTGTGCCTGGCACTGTGTTAGGCCCCGGGGATCAGTAGCTGCAAAACGGAAGTAGCTGCTTTAAATGTTGACCAATTCAAGATACTATTACTTTCTGAGTAAAAGCATTCATAGTTACTTAGGCCAAATACTTTAGAACATGCTTGTCTCTTCTATTTCTCTGTCTCACACTGCTTATGCAAGCCATTGGCAATATACCTTTAATGTATATTTCAAATCTGACCAATTCTTACCACCTTCACCTTTATCACTCAAATCCAGGTGACCATCAGCTCTTGCCTGGACTGTTGCAGTAGCCTCCTGGATGGACTCTCAAGAGTTCCCTCTCCCTGTGACAGCCAGAGTGAACCTTCTAAAACATAACTCTGCTTATGCTATTCCTCTGCTCAGAGCCTTCCTGTGGCTCCTTATTTGATTCTCAATTGAAGGCAAGGTTCTTGCAAAGACCTCCTAGGCAGTCATAGTCTTGCATCTGGTCACCTCTGTAACACCCGACTCTGAGAGCAATGAAATGAAATCCACTTCCTGGAAAAGGCCAGGAGGAAAGACAACCTCAGGCCTCCTCCACTACTAGCAGATTTTCCAGCAAGCACAGCGTGACATAGTGTGACAGGCTCCCCATGATGGACTCTGCATTAAATTGACAAATAGCAAGAACAATAGTGGGAAGTCAGAGGATTTTAAAGACATTCTTGTAAGTAGAAGTTAAATAGAAGTTAAACATTATGGGGGTGCCTGGGTGGCTCAGTCGGTTAAGCCTCCAACTCTTGATCTCATCTCAGGTCTTGATCTCAGGGTCATGAGATTGAGCCCCTGCATCAGCCTCTGCCCAGGGTGTGGAGCCTGCTTAAGATTCTCTCTCTCTCCTTCTGCCCCTCCCTCCTCTCTCTAAAACAAACAAAATCTGCTAAACTATTTTCCACAATGACTGTACCATGTCCACCAGCAATGTAGGAGAATCCCAATTCTCTACATCTTCACTAATATTTATTATTTTCCTTTTTCCCCAAGATTTTATTTATTTATTTTGATAGAGAGAGACAGTGAGAGAGGGAACACAAGCAGGGGGAGTGGGAGAGGGAGAAGCGGGCTTCCAGCTGGGCAGAGAGCCTGACGTGGGGCTCGATCCCAGGACCCTGGGGTCAGGACCTGAGCCGAAGGCAGACGCCTAATGACTGAGCCACTCAGGCGCCCCTATTATTTTCCTTTTTAAAAATCATAGCTGTCCTAGTGGTTGTGAAATGGTATCTCACAATGCTTTTGAATTTGTTTCCCTATTGACTAATGATGCTGAGCACCTTTTCCTGTGTTTATTGACCATTTGTATATATAATCCTTTGCCTATTTTTCAGTTGGTTTGTCTTTCTGTTGTTGAGTTACAAGAGTTAAAAAAAAATTCTTGATACTAGACCCTTATCAGATATACGAATTGCAAATATTTTGTCCCATTCTGTGGGTTGTCTTTTCATTTTCTTGTGTCTTTCGAAGCACAAACATTATTTATTTATTTATTTGAGAGAGAGCCCAAGAGAGAGCACAGTGGGGAGGAGCAGAGGGAGAGGGAGAAGCAGACTCCCTGCTGAGTGGGGAACCCAACTCAGAGCTCGATCCCAGGACCCTGAGATCATGACCTGAGCCAAAGGCAGACGCTTAACTGACTGAGCCACCCAGGCGCCCTAACATTTTTAAATTTTAATGAAATTCAATTTAATCTATTTTTTCCTTTGGTTGCTTGTGCTTCTGGTGTCATATCTAAGAAACTGTTGCCTAATCCAAGATCATAAAGAATTATGCTTATGTTTCTTTCTAAGAGTTTCATAGGTTGGCCTTTACATTTAGGTCTTTGGTCTAGTTTTTTAGAGGGCGGAGGGGCAGAGGGAGAGAGAGAGAGAGAACCTTAAGCAGGCTCCACAGCCATTGCGGAGCCTGAGGTAGGTCTCAGTAGCACACCCCTGAGATTATGACCTGAGCCAAGATTAAGAGTTGGACACTTTTTTTTTTAAGATTTTATTTATTTATTTGACAGAGAGAGACACAGCGAGAGAGGGAACACAAGCAGGGGGAGCGGGAGAGGGAGAAGCAGGCTTCCCGCTGAGCAGGGAGCCCGATGCGGGGCTCCATCCCAGGACCCTGGGATCATGACCTGAGCTGAAGGCAGATGTCTAACGACTTGAGCCACCCAGGGGCCCCAAGAGTTGGACACTTAGCCAAATGGGCCACTCAGGTGCCCCCAGTCTATTTCGAATTGATTTTGTATATGGTGTGAGACTGGGGTACAGTTTCTTTTCAGTTAGTCTTCTGGTACCAGTAAAACTCCCGATTTTAATTACCAGGCTCAGCACAGAGGTAGCAGGCCCCAAACATTTCCACTGGGGTAGCATTTGATAGTTTAAATAACATTCTCTTATGTGATCTCTCCAGTAATCAAGTCAGATAATTACCCAATTTTAGATATAAGAAAACAGACTTGCAGAGGGTGAGTGAGTTGCCTGACATCATGTAGGAACCCAAATGGCAGAGTCAGTGGGAGAGAACCCTGGAAAAGGGAAAAGGAAGTCCTGGGTCACGGTCTCAGTTCTGCCGCTTGTGTTCGTGTGAACTTGTACTAGGCATGTGCCTCTCGGGGTCTCAATTTCATCATGGGTGGGCAAGGGAGTTGATCTTGGGTAACTGCGATAAAACTTTACTGAGCATCTAGGACATTCCAGGCTGTGCCAGGCACTTCAAATATAACACCTCTAATTTTTTCAATAACCTCACTAGGCAGGTAAATCTTCATTTCCCAGAAGAAAAAATGAAGACCTCTGCAGTCAGTACCTGAGAGCACTCAGCCTGCAAATGTCAAGACTGGGCCAAGAACCCAGCCTGTTTCCTCTTAGCCACGTATGCTTCCCAAGTCTCTGTCCTCATCAGTAAATGCTAATTAGTATTCCTTCCTCCTAGGATCGCTGTGAACAATGTGGGCGGAGCCACTCGTTCATGGACTGAATCCTTATTGAGCACCTGCAAGACGCCAAACCCTATTGTAGGCGAGGACTGAAGATAAGACAAAATCCCTGCCCTCACGAAGTTAACGTTCTAGCAGGGAGAAGGGAAACAGAACAAAAAAAGACATTTGTGTGTGTGTGCGCGCGCGCACACACACACACACCCACACACCCACCGGGTAATATCAGATAGTGATGAGTGCTAACAAAAAATAGCGTGAGGGACGCCTGGGTGGCTCAGTCGGTTAAGCGTCTGCCTGCTTTGGCTGGGGTCCGGATCCCAGGATCCCAGGGGCCTGGGATCGAGTACCCCATTGGGCGCCCTGCTCAGCGGGGAGCCTGCTTCTCCCTCTACCTGCTTCTCCCCCTGCTTGTGCTCTGTCTCGCTCTCTTTGACAAGTAGATAGGTAAAATTAAAACAAAACCCACAAAAAATAGCATGAAGTGGCCGTGGAATGAGAGCAATCGGAAGCAGTCACGTGCGCTGAGAACTGAATGATCCGGAGGAGGTCGACGGTGGGAAATTTGGGGGCAGGCTGTCCAAGTAAAGGTTATGGGACTAGGTTAACGCAAGAAGCTTTTCTGTACTTCCACGACGTGCCAGCAACTGTATTGGGCAGAATGTTCGGAGGGGGATACAGTCCTGGTGGTCCAAGCACTCACTGCGCAGGAGCGGACATCACAGAGCGGATCGTTCCTCCGCCGATGAAGGGGCGTATCTAATCAAGAGGTGAAACATTAATTTTTATCCATGTTTTTGCAAATGTGTCCAGCAGGCTCCGAAACATTTCCTTAAGAGATCACTGACATGCCCAGGTTAGGGCTTTCGGTTTTTCCCTTCGCAGCTCCTGGGCCCCTGTTGCTTCGATCCCCCCTCCGGGCACCAGGGAGCGCTGTAATACTCTCAGGGTCCGCTGACGCCTCCGCGCTCTCTTCCCCTTTTCTTCTCGCTGCGCCGCACTTCTGGTGGCAAGCGGAAGCGGGGACTTGCAGCCGCGGGCGCCGGGGCCGGAGGCATGGCGGGGGCGGGGCCGGGGGAGGCTCGCGCCGAGCAGGCCGGGGGGTCTCTCTCCCCGGCCCTTTGAACCAGGACCGTACAGGTGAGGACTTCTCCTTTCTTGGCCCAGCCTCCAAGCTCGTCAGGCTTTCCCCGAGGCCTCCCCGGGTTCCCGCCTGCTCCCCGCAAGACGCCGAGGCCCCGCGGCCCCCGCCCTCCCTGAGCGTTCCCTTCCCATTGAGGCCCCGCCCCGGGCTTCTCTTTCCGGGGGCGCCCCCCTGGGGGTGTATGCCGGTCCCTTGGTATCCCCTTACCGCTTTGGAAGCCCTCACAACGAATTGAGGGGTGTGTGCACCAAACGTCGTGGGGAAGCGGAGACGCAGCAAGGGGGAAAGGACTTGCTTAGTACCACACGACGAGCTAGTGGCCCCATTCAGCCAGGCTTTCTTCTATCATTCATAAATAACGTATCGAACGCATACGAGGGGCCAGCCCCATTGCTAGGCTCTGAGAAAACTGAGGTGACCGAAGTGGGCATGGTTGCTTCCTGTCTAGGGAGTACGGTGTAGTGGGGGAGTCCATCATTAAACACAGCCGTGCAAGTAAAAGTAGGTATGCACACTGTGGCAGTTACTATGAAGAAGACAAACAGAAAGTAGTGGGGAGGCCTGCTTTGGAGAGAATGATCAGGGAAGACTTCCTGGAGGAGATGACACTTAGGCTGCAACTTGAGAAATTATGCAATGGCCTGGGGAAAGACGTCCTAGGCAGAGGGAACAGCCCGTGTGGATACCTGAGTTGGCAAAGAACTTGGAGTGAGGCAGGTCCAGCGTACAGGAAATGAGGTTTAAGATGTTTCCAGTTGGGTGATGGGGCGGACAGACTATGTGTACTGGTCAGGAGCTCACCATCTAGTGCCACAGGTAGCAGTAAAATGCAGAGACAAAGTTGCAAGCATGATACGTGTTGTGAAGGCAAGGTATGGCTCTTAGGTTGGTATTTTAGCTAAGGGGGAGGTGAAAGAAGACTACTCTGAGGAGGAGATAATTAGGTTGATGTCTGAAATTGGAGTTGGCAGAGGAAGAAGAAGAGCTTTTTTAGATTTCAGTTAACAGCAAGTGCCAAGCTTCTGAGGCAGGAGGTAGGATCCCTGTTGAAGAAATGGTTAGAGTTAATGGGAAAAGATGGGGTGGGAGAGGCAGAGCTGAGACCTTTGAGTCCCTGATTGGCATGTTACGGATTTTGATTCTGATCATAAAGAGCAGTGGGAAGATAGTGTCCTGTTCTAATCAGTAGGGGAAAGGACGTGGTCACGAAAGCATTTTGAAAAGATCATTGGCTGTTGGAAGGAGTGGGTTTAGGTAGGAAATTGGTGCATCTTCATCGCAGACATGAAATTATAAAAGTTTGGATAGGGATGCTGGCAGGTTGTGATAGAGATAAGTGAAAGTTTAGAGGGCTATTTAGTAGGAGAGAAAACCTCCAGAGTTTGATGACTGATCAGGGGGCGGAGGGAAAGAGGTATCAAGGAAGACTGTCAGGTTTCTGGTTCCTGATAGCGGGAGAGTAGCTGGGCTACTCACTGGACTAGGGGAGCTGGGAGAGGGCCAGCTTTTGGGAAAATACCAAGTTATTCTGACTTTTTTTTTCATAATAATTCTCACTGTGACTAGAAGGCTCGCCCTTTCTTTCTTTCTCTTTCTTTTCTTTTCTTTCTTTTCTCTTTTCTTTTCTTTCTTTCTTTCTCTCTTTCTCTCTCTCCCTCCCCCCCTTTCTTTCTTTCTTTCTTTCTTTCTTTCTCTTTCACGAAAGATTTTATTTATTTATTAGAGAGAGTGAGTGAACAAGAGATCTCAGGACCCCAGGATCATGCCCTGAGCCAAAGGCAACCGCTTGACCGACTGAGCCACCCAGGCGCACCAAAGGGACTTTCATTTAATACTTTTTTTTTTTTTTAAGATTTTGTTTATTTATTTGACAGCTAGAGAGCACAAGCAGGGGGAACAGCAGAGGGAGAAGGAGAAGCAGGCTCCCCGCCAAGCAGGGAGCCCGATGTGGGGCTCGATCCCAGGACCCCAGGATCATGACCTGAGCCGAAGGCAGACACCCAACCATCTGAGCCACCCAGGCGCCCCCATTTCATACTTTTTCTGTAGTGTTTGAGTTTTTATGAGCATGTATTATTTTTATAATCAGAACAATAAGAGAACAAGTTGAAAAAGTCTCAAATAACTCCACCATGTCTCTAAAAATCACAATTGTGTGATGTAAAAGTGTGTGTGTGTGTGTGTAGGGAGAGGGAGAGAGAGTGCACACACTGAAGGAAGTGTTAGGAAATTCAGTGAGGATTTTCTGTACAATTTGGACCCGAAGCTAACAGGTCTTCAGCTCCGTTTACCCTACACCCTCACACCTTTCACCCCAGTTACTGGTGTCTTTCCCTTAAGACGACAAATCAGAGAATTTAAGATGGGACTATACAAAGTGTACGTCAATTTTCTTAGAATTAAGCATCTATTTTGCTTAGTATGATCAGTGGCTCTTTCTAAGTTGAACCACTGTAGTATACTTGATCCCACTCAGCAGTTTGTCTGCTAGATGGTATCTCATGCCTAGTCCTTCCGTTCCTGGGCCTTATCTGCCTTTGTCTTACCATTCTGGTCACCCTCTCTGACTCTAGCCCCCGTCTTAGGTTGGCAGGGTTGCCCTGGGCAGGGATTGAGTGAAGCAGTTTTTTATGTTATTTGGTATTTTGATTTTGGTATTTTGAAATGCTTAAACCTTAATAGTGTGTTTTTTTAGGCTGTATCAGAATAGCCACAGCAACAATGTTACCGTTACAAGGAGTAGCTGTGTGAAATTCAGTATATTTGTTGTTCAGATATGGAGGATATTGCTCACTTTATCAAGCCAAGGTCCTCTGAGAAAACTTAGGAGAGAGATTGCTTTTAAACTCCCGTGCCGGGAAGAGTTGTGCTTCTTCCAAGCGTCTATTTTCTATCTTATTGGCTGTGCAGATTCTGTAACTGACTGTTTTTTCCTTTTTGCTTTGTCTGCTGAGAAAAATCAGGGCCAAATTAGAAGCTTGGCAGGTCTGCACGTCCACATGGTATGCATTTCTCTGTACATCTGGCTTCATCTTAGACTGTCCTACCTTAGTGTTCTCTTCACGATGATTGTTTTCTAATTAAAAAAAATTTTGAGTAAGTACAAATAATACTTTAAAAGTATATGTAATCTTTAAAGAATGACAGTACAGTGAATGCTGATTTAAGAAAAAATGCAACCTCAGAGCTGCCAGTGTATCCCAGTCCCCGTCCCATTTCTTACTTCTCACAGGTAACCACTGTTCTGAATTTTATGTTTATAAATTCCTTTGCTTTCTGTAATTGTATACCATATATATTGATAGCCTTAAACTAGAAACTGTTTGAAGCTTATATAAGGAGAATCACACAAAAATATTCTGCTGCTTGCTTTCTTCAGTCGTTGTTGTGTTCTGAGATTCATTTAGGTTGTCATATATAATTGTAGTGCATTGATTCATTGCTTCATAAGATTCTACTGCATGAGTATGCCTGGAAGAATTGATCTAGTCTTCTGTTCATGGGCATTTGGAGTGTGGTCAGTTTTTGCTGTTGCTAACAATTCTGCAGATATTCATGTTATTCATGTGCAGACATTTCTGTAGATCAGGGTTTCTCATCCTTAGCACAATTGACATCTTGGTCTAAACGTGGAAGGCTGTTCTGTTTACTGTAGGATGTTTGGCAACACTCCTGGCTTCTATTTGCTGGACACTCATAACATCCCTCCTTCCCAAGTTAGGACAACCAAACATTGTCTCCAGATGTTACACAATTGCCCCAGTTAGGAACCAGTGCTCAAGATCAGCTGTTGACAAATTTTTTCTGCAAGGGCCAAGACAGTAATTATTTCAGGTTTGTGGGCCACGTGGTCTTTGGTCTCAACTAATCATCTGTGCCTTTGTAGGACAAAAGCAGCCATAGGTAACGTGTAAATGAATGGGAATGGCTGTGTTCCAGTAAAAAGTTATTTACAAAAAACAAGCAGACAGACAAGATTTGGCCTGAGGGCAGGCAGTAAGCTCTCTCTTGCTGTAGTCTAGATCAGTAGGAAATATATTTTATATCCTCACCCAGTGCATATAATTCATATATACAATTGAAACAAGTTTCATGAAATAGTATTTACCCTTCCTATGTGTGATACAATGTGGTATTTTCTATTTTATTCCACTTTTTAAAATGTCAGCTATATCCACTAAATTGATTTCAAGGCCTCATTAATGAGTTGTAACTAGCAGTTTGATAAATTTAGTTTGGTCAGTCATAGAGGTATGCACATCTTTAACTTGACTAGATAGCATCTATACTTACATAGAGCATTTCAGATCCCTTTTAAGAGGAAACAGTATAAACAAATACCACATTGTGTGTTATGTTTTTATTTCTAAAATATAGATTGGATCAGTTACTCCCTTGCTTAAAATGTGTAATAGCTGGTGTGGCGTGGAGGGGCCTGTGAAGTGTTTTCCAGCCTGGCTCCAGTCTACTTTTCTGGGTTTCCCTTTTATCACTCACTCTGTGCATCCTGGGCTCTAACCATTTGGGATTACTCTGTTTCCCAAATGTGTCATGCCACACTCCTTCCAAGTGTATTTTTTAGGCTTCCTTCTTTCTGAAATGTTCCTCTTTTACTTTGCCTAGTGAATTCTTGATCCTGCAAGGCCCGTGTTGGAATGTTGCTCCATTCATTCATTTAATATGTTTATGAGCACTTACTGTGCCTCAGGTACTGCTGTAGGTGATGGGATTCACCTAGAATTGGGCAGGGTCCCTGGGGTCGGTGTGTGGTGACAGATACTACAGAGGTAAACAAGATAATTTGAAAATGTGATGAGGGCTGAAGAAAATAAAATAGGGTAGAATGAGAGTTGTTATGGATGGGAAGGTAGGGAAAAATCTGAGGAGTTGCTTTTTTAGCTGAGATTTGACTCTTGACCCAGAGCAGCAATTCAAAAACGTTCTGCTTCCTTTTGGTCTCCACAGTTTCTCAAGAAATCCACAGACATTTGAATTGTTCCCCTCCAGGTAATATATCATCTACCTGGTTGCTTATAAGATTTCTACTTTGTGTTTTAGTTTTTAAGTTTGACTGTAATGTGTCTGGGCATGGATTTCTTTGGGTTTATCACATTTGGGTTCTCTGAACTTCCTGAATCTTGGGTTTTCATCTGTGAGGGTTTGTTTCTGGATTGTCTATTCTATTCCATTGTTGTATTTGTTTTTATGCCAGTACCACACTTTTTTTTTTAAATTACTTTCGCTTTGTAATATGTTTTGAAATCAGGAAGTCTGAGTCTTCCAACTTTGTTTTTTTACGAAATTGTTTTAGCTGTTTGGGGTTCCTTGAGATTACTTGTGCGTTTCAGGATGAATTTTTCTATTCTTTCAAAAAACAAAATTTTTAGAAAAATTTAGATTGGGGTTTTGTTAGGGATTGCATTGAGTTTATAGATTGCTTTGAGTAGTATGGACATTTTTTTTTTAAGATTTTATTTATTTGAGAGAGATCACAGAGGGAGAGGGAGAAGCAGACTCACTGCTGACTGATCAGAGAGCACGATGCGGGGCTTGACCCCAGGACCCTGAGATCATGACCTGAGCCAAAGGCAGCCACTTAACTGATTGAGCCACCCAGGCATCCTGGGTAGTATGGACATCCTAACAGCCAGTAAATACATTTCTTTAATGAACGTGCACTAAATGTTACTCTTACACTGAAGAAATTTGATGTAATTCTACATTTATTCTGTTGAATATTCCCAACAGCTAAGAGTGCTTTGAAGGTGTTCCTAGTGAATTAGGTCCTTCCCGCAAACCTGTTTTTAGAATCAGAAATGTCAGGACCATTTTCTGACTATAATCTAGGAAGGAGAAGTGCTGATCACTGTCACCCTGCGAGTTCTTAGGTCCAGGGTATAAGGAGGAAAATCTCTTTGACTTGTGTATATTTATGTTTTGGTCAATTTTGTTTTGCTTTCTTGACTTCTTCACTTTTCCACGCAGAGATGTGATAATGGATCATCATGTTTCCACCATCAAACCTCGAAGAATCCAGAACCAAAATGTCATTCACCGCTTGGAACAGCGACGAATCAGCTCAGGCAAGGCAGGTACCCACTGGCATCAGGTCCGAGTATTCCACCAGAATGTCTTCCCCAACTTCACAGTTGTCAATGTTGAAAAGCCTCCTTGTTTCTTGCGTAAATTCTCGCCTGATGGGCGCTACTTTATTGCTTTCTCTTCAGACCAGACCTCTCTTGAAATCTATGAGTACCAGGGCTGCCAGGCAGCTGAGGACTTACTGCAGGGCTATGAGGGGGAGATCCTGTCCAATGGCAATGACCAGCGGTCAGTCAACATCCGCGGCCGGCTCTTTGAACGCTTTTTTGTCTTGCTGCATATTACCAACGTAGCCGCCAACGGGGAGCACCTGAACCGGGAGTGTAGCCTCTTCACCGACGACTGCCGATGTGTCATCGTGGGCTCAGCTGCCTACCTCCCGGATGAGCCGCACCCTCCTTTTTACGAGGTGTATCGGAACAGTGAATCTGTGACCCCCAACCCACGGTCCCCTCTGGAGGACTATTCCCTTCACATCATTGACCTTCACACTGGCCGCTTATGTGATACCCGCACTTTCAAGTGTGATAAGGTGGTCCTGTCGCACAACCAAGGGCTGTACTTGTACAAAAACATCCTGGCCATCTTGTCAGTGCAGCAGCAGACGATCCACGTCTTCCAGGTGACCCCTGAAGGCACTTTCATTGATGTGAGGACCATCGGCCGCTTCTGCTACGAGGATGACCTCCTCACCGTGTCAGCCGTTTGCCCGGAGGTGCAACGGGACAGTCAGACAGGCATGGCCAACCCTTTCAGAGACCCCTTTATCAACTCCCTGAAACACCGGCTGCTCGTGTACTTGTGGCGCCGGGCAGAGCAGGATGGTAGTGCGATGGCCAAGAGGCGCTTCTTTCAGTATTTTGACCAGCTGCGGCAGCTGCGCATGTGGAAAATGCAGCTTCTGGACGAAAACCATCTGTTTATCAAGTACACCAGTGAGGACGTGGTAACCCTGCGGGTCACAGATCCATCACAGGTATGAAGTGCTCTCCTCCCATCCCCTTGGTAAAATGGGAAGGTTTCTCTCTTTGTCTATAGCCAGCCTCTCAGGAATTCGCGTTTTCCACGCTCTTGAATTTTTGTTATCTTGGGCCTCAAACTTAAAATAGCTCCATTTTTCTCTGGCCACATGTCTTTATTTGGACAAATGGAAGCTAAAACTCAAGTCATTGATATGTGGGTGGTCAGCTCGGTGATTATTACCCTAATTCTTCTGCAGAGCATTTTCAGTTCCCTTAAGAAAGAAGCCCAAGTGCTGCAGGGTCAAAGTTTGGACTACCCAGTGGATAATCCTGCCTTGACTTTGTGAGACTGTGCTTGTTGGTCTGACTGCTTTAGATCTAGGAGTGAGAATGAGCGCACCATACTGAAAAATTTTTCTAAAAATTTGGCCTTTTCTGCTTAAGTGGTTAATGTCAGTATCCTTCTTCATAAAATCCTTAGGAGGTAAATAAAGGGAAGTTAATCTGGCAGTTAAGTTTTATGATTTTACCCTGACCTTGCCCATGTGCTGGACCATAGGCTGTAGAGCAGTGAAAAGATTAAAAGGAAGCCAAAACTTCTGCTCCCCCAAGTGAATCATCAGGACTGTAGGTCCTAGGGTATTTCAGTTTGGATGAAAGGTCTTGGAGGGGAGAGAGCTGTTTCTCAAATGGGAATCAGGTGGTGGTAAGGGCACAGAAACCTCCCAAGACTCTTGGGTTGAAACACCATGTTGTAATTCAGGCTATTTTGGGACATTTCTCTTTGAGAAGCTCTCCACTTTAGTGTTGGTCGAGAAAGAGACCTACCTTTCTGTACCTTTGCTCCCTATTCTCCTGTTTACAGAATGTCTCCTTAGATAACAAGTTTGGGGATTCAGAGTAGAGAACAAACCAGTCAGCCACAAAGAAGGCTGAGTCTCGTATCTCCCACTGACTTGCAGTTGGTTCTGTCATAGGAGGCTGTGCAGGACACTATTTCCTAAGACCTTACCAGCCATCCATGGTAAAATGCTTTCCAGTATTTTTCTTTTGAATCATAGCTTGTATATTCTAAAAAAAGGTGGGTGGTGGGGAGTAATATGGTTGGAGATTAGTTTTCTGGATTCTTTTCTTCCCTATTAATGATGAAGTTGCCCATTGAACCATCACAAATGAACGTCTGGTCCATCTTTTGTGTCATGGGAGATTGGTAGTGACACCCTTGACTTCTGTCCCCTTCTGTATTTCGCATCTGCCCTGGAGGGAAGGCTAGTAAGGTTTGTGTAATTTTATATTCACATATGTGTGATGGGTCCTGGTGGAGCCCTGATAGGGTCAAAGTGTCCAGGTCTATAGAAAGGACATGAGTCAATCTTTTTTTTTTTTTTTTTAAGATTTTATTTATTTATTTGACAGAGACACAGTGAGAGAAGGAACACAAGCAGGGAGAGTGGGAGAGGGAGAAGCAGGCTTCCCGCTGAGCAAGGAGCCCGATGTGGGGCTTGATCCCAGGACCCTGGGATCACGACCTGAGCCGAAGGCAGACGCTTAATGACTGAGCCACCCAGGCGCCCCATGAGTCAATCTTTTATTTAGGTTTGAGCTATAATTACCTTTGTCATTTGGAGGGAATAAGTTGTCTCTGATAGCTGCATTTGAGATTATCCTTCTTCCCTTTGCTAAAACATGACCCACTTATTTCTGGTAGCTGTAATAAATTTTGGCTAGACTCAGTACTAGTGCTCAAGTGTTTTGCTTACAGAGCTTGTAACTTTAAACCCAATTTGCCCTAGTTGTCCTCCTACCCCCTTCCCCAGTTTAATTTGATAGGTTCCAATAAGGTTAATGAGAAAAAGTGCATCTACACACAAAGTCCTGCTAATATTATGGGTATTATTCTCAGATTACTCTCCAGCCTCTTTAATTTACAGCCATATTTAATTTCCAGGTGACCGCAAAAGTCATGTAATAAAAGCTCTGGAAGGACTAATGACTGGTAAAACAGGTGGGCCCTGTGGCTCCAGGAATTGATGATGAAGACTTAAACTCCGTCGTAGGAGGGGGAGTACTAATCTTAACGTTCTGAAAACTTCACGTTCTGAAAACTTCTAGAGTCCTGTTGAAAGCTTGTAGATTGATTCACATTGCCACATTCATTGGGACAAAAACCAGGGGTTCCTGGAGCTTCCTTGTTAGGCAGAGCAGAGCACTGGTGGTTTAGAGGGCTAGTCACCCAGGGGCCCATTCAGAGAAGGTAGTAACTCTGCCACCTATGGCATTTGAATGCTTTTCAGGTTCCCCCTCTGATCTTAATTGCTACAAGTCTCAAATGTATCTTCCAAATGCTCCTGGCTGAAAGAACATTTATGAAGAAAGAAAGGAAAATGCTTCCCTGATTTTTCATTTGTTCAGCAGCAGTTCCCTGCTTGGTTACAACTTGCCTGGGCAGTTTTAGGACACAGTGTACTTCAGGTGTCTCTCTGCATGTTAGAAATCTTAAGAGGGAAAATAAATGTCCCTAAATTGAACTTTCAACTGTACATATACAAGGGAAAATAATTTGCCAACAGGCAGCCACAGGCGACCAATCACTTTCTCAGCAGGGGAAAATTAAATCTGGCATTTTAAAAAAGTGCTTTTTATCTCAGGCTGGGTTGGGAAGCAAGTAGGGAATAAATACTAGGAAGGAAAAATGTTGAATTTGCAGAGTCAGAAATGAAAGATTGGAACCCTTTCTACACATATACGCAGGCCCGCTCAGTAATTCCAGCAGCACAGATATGGTGGTAAATCCAGCAGTACTGGCCATGACTGATGGCCCTTGAATGATAAAGTGCACTGAGGCCTCCTCCTCTCCTAGAACCACCTGGAGCCATGTTTTTATGCTAGTGTGGGAGCAGAAGTGTTTGCTTGTATCATTTATTTGAATTCTTAACCAAGTGGTAAGTTTCCAAGGCATGGCAGTATACCTAGCTGTCTCATAGCTCTCTCTGTTCTTCTGCAGGCATCTTTCTTTGTGGTATACAATATGGTGACAACAGAGGTGATTGCCGTGTTTGAGAATACGTCAGATGAGCTTCTAGAACTCTTTGAGAACTTCTGTGACCTCTTCCGTAACGCTACCCTACACAGTGAAGTCCAGTTTCCCTGCTCAGCTTCCAGCAACAATTTTGCAAGGCAGATCCAGCGCCGGTAAGCTCTTCCACCGGGCTTAACAGGCTTAATTTTTCTTTAGACAATCCATGTCCTCCAAAAAACCCTCCTGTATTCTCTCTGCCCACCTCGCTTTGGTTTGGTCTGCCTGTTGTAACCCCTTGGGTCATCCTGAACCTCTTTCTGTCTCTCAGCACCGGTGGAATTACTTGTGCATTATCTATGATTCATCCTAGAGGAAGGAGAGCTGTATGAGAGCTGCAGAAAGATAGAGACCGTGTCTTTATTATTTATTGCTGTATTTTCATGATGTCCTATCAAGCATTTAAGTATTTTTTGAGTGAATGACTAAGGAAATAATTTTAGAACTTTTGGTTAAACATGATGTGTTGAACATATGTGTTTGTTTCTGCTCCACCCCTAAGCCCCACCAAAATGACAATAAAGGAGTAAGAGGTGTAAATATAACAAGAGCAAAGAGAATGGGAGAGGAGAGACATTGGAGACAGAGATGATTGGCGACAGGAGAGAGATCTGAATAGTGTTTGGAGCTGAGAAGCTAACCGATCATCGGTAACCAACTTGGCACACTTCAGAGAACAAAAACTTAAGACTGCAGAGCTTAGCCATCAAGAAACAAGTTGCCTTGCTCCGGAGAACTCTGGAAAGAGTTGGGGAATTGGAGGCCCTAGGTACCTCTGAAGATACCTAAGATGTAATCTTAAATAGGAGGATTGGGTGAAGGTCTGGAAAGGACCAATCAGGCCCTCTAGCCCCCTTCTCTAAGCCTACTCTGCTGAGTGACTGTCTCTTCCTCACTTCCGCAGAAGGCTGGAGGTTTAGTCTCTGGAGACACTGAACCATGTAGGCTCTGGTTTCACGTTCATGAGGAACAGCTGAGGTAGGGGTGAGATTTGTCATGCTAAAAACAAGAATTAAGTGAAAACCAACAAACTGAAGGTAAAATTCCTGTCACCTTTATCAGAATAGGCAGCCAGGCTCATGCTCCTCCTGGAGGAGGTTAGAGATTTTTCCTTAGGGAAATGGACCAACCCAAAGAAGAGACCTTCAGATGTTCATACTTGGAGTCCCTCCACAAACACCTGGGTCATTCTAAATTAATACCCCCCATCAGCCAGGTCTTCCTATGAACCAGAGTTTCAGATATAATTATCTGAGTATATTATTGTGAAATGAATGGTTACTTTGGGCCATTGGCCCAAGCTGAATCCTACTCTAGTCAGTCAGTGCCTTATTGGATGCCACAAACTAAATCGCTTCCCCAGCTCTAGCCAGTTAGGGAAAATATCTGCTTTAGATTTCAAGATAGGTCAGACCAGAGTGAACAGATAACTCAGAATGAGCATCACTGCCACTGGAAAAAATGAACTGCAGATACATTAATGCAGTGGCATCATCTTTATATAAAAGGGTAGTACTCAGAAATAGATGGATATTGGTTTTCAGACAGGTTACTTGCCTTTTCCTTTTTCTCTGGTTCACACAAATTTTCTGCCTTATATGCGTTTCTGTTCGGTATAGAGGATTTTTGGAGGCAGAACATGGATCAGAATTTGCTTTTTTCGGGCGCCTGGGTGGCTCAGTCGTTAAGCGTCTGCCTTCAGCTCAGGTCATGATCCCAGAGTCCTGGGATCGAGTCCCACATCGGGCTCCCCGCTCAGTGGGAAGCCTGCTTCTCCCTCTCCCACTCCCCCTGCTTGTGTTCCCTCTCTCACTGTGTCTCTATCTGTCAAATAAATAAATAAAATCTTTAAAAAAAAAAAAAAAAGAATTTGCTTTTTTCATTTTGGAATGAATTTTCTTCTTTTATTTTTATTATTTTTTTTAAAGATTTATTTATTTATTTTGAGAGTAGGGGGAGGGGCAAAGGGAGAGGGAGAGAGACACTCTTAAGCAGACTTTGCACTGAGTGTGGAGCCCAGTGAGGGGCTGGATCCCACAACCCTGAGATCAGGACCTGAGCCAAAACCAAGAGTTGGACACTTAACCAACTGTGCCACCCAGGTGCCCCTGAATATTCTACTACTACTTTTTTTTTTTTTTGTAAGATTTTATTTATTTTTCGGAGAGCACAAGCAGGGGGAGCGGCAGTCAGAGGGAGAAGCAGGCTCCCCACCGAGCAAGGAGCCCAACATGGGACTCGATCCCAGGACCTTGAGATCATGACCTGGGCTGAAGGCAGATGCTTAACTGACTGAGCCACCCAGGCGTCCCTGAACTTTCTTCTTTTAAGATAGCTTTAAAATCAGGCAGATCATTATCAACTAATTACAAAGCTGGGTACAGCTGGCTGAGACAAAATATCAGAGAAGTCATTAGGAGTGAACTCCCGTGAGGGCAGATTCTAGTCTGTTATATTCACTGCTCTACCCATAGCACCTAGGCCAGTGTCTTTCATGTGGGAGAAGCTCATTATGTGTTTGTTGAATGAATAAAATCACCCAGTTTAGAAGAAGCTGTTTTTTGAGAGTTATTTCAGAATGCATCTGGAATTATGTGAAATTGTAGGAACTCAGGAGGAGAAAATAAAGGTTGAGAAGAAAGATGGACGTCCAGCTTTGTGATCCTCAGACTTTTGTATCATACCACCAAAAGATTTTGATCAACTGTAGATATCCTCATACATTAATTTTTACGTTGATCTTAAAATTTTTTTGCTGTTAAATTTGAATAATTGCAGAAAATGCAATGTTCAGTGTATATTTAATACTGATTTTTAAAAATAAAATTATTACAAGCCTTTTTTTCCCCAGCTTTATTGAGATATAATTGGCATATAACATTGTATAAGTTTACGGTGTATAACCCAACACTTTTATTTTTTATTATTTATTTATTTTTTGAAGATTTTATTTATTTATTTATTTATTTTTAAAGATTTTGTTTATTTGACAGAGACACAGCGAGAGAGGGAACACAAGCAGGGGGAGTGGGAGAGGGAGAAGCAGGCTTCCCGCCGAGCAGGGAGCCCGATGTGGGGCTCGATTCCAGGACCCTGGGACCATGACCTGAGCCAGAGGCAGATGCTTCACGACTGAGCCACCCAGGCACCCAGATTTTGCTTATTTGACAGAGAGAGAGCAAGCACAAGCAGGAGGAGTGGTAGGCAGAGGGAGACGGAGAAGCATACTCCCTGCTGAGCAAGGAGCCTGATTTGGGGCTCAATCCCAGGACCCTGGGATCATGACCTGAACCAAAGGCAGACGCTTAACCAACTGAGCCACCCAGGTGCCCCAACTCAACACTTTAAAACATAACCCTGGGGAATCTAGATGCCATAGGAATTTGGTATTCAGTATTTGATATAAAAAGGAGAGAGCTTCGTGCTCAGCCGGAAGCCTGCTTCTCCCTCTCCCACTCCCCCTGCTTGTGTTCCCTCGCTGGCTGTCTCTCTGTCAAATAAGTAAACAAACAAATAAGTAAGTAATGGAGAGCGCAAATTGTGCCAATACTATTTGAAATTTTACATTGTTTTTTATGTTTGAATTCATACATCTATTTTATTTCCCCCACAGAACTGTATCATAATGTAACATTGCATTAACCATCTTGTCATGCTTTGCTGCATTGAAAATGCAATGTGTCTATAAGTTGGAATTATTTTTTATTTCTTGTGAGCACATGGTTCTAAAATGCGCAATTTTGCAGTCTCCAGTAATCTTTTAGTAAACATAAGTGAAGGTGGTCCAGTATAGGTTAGAGTAAATGTTCAAGAAAAACAGAAGGGGGACACCAAAGATCATGAGTTACTTAAGGAAAATCTTCATTTTGAAAGAGACCAAAATAAAACAAACAGTAGAAAGAATAAAGGAACAACATTGCAATCAGTGAAATAATTTAAGCTTTAAAAAGAAACATTCCTAGAAGAGAAATTTAAACTTTGTTAGGTATAGTTGAGGAATTCTCCAAGAAAATAGAATAATAAACAGATAAAAGTAGGAAAGTGGGAGAGAAAAGATGAAAAGAAATTAGAGAATTTGTCCAGGATGTCCAGTATCTGGTTATTTCCACAAGGCGCAGTAGAGAGAATGACAGGGAGGAAATAACGTAAATAGTTTTCCGGTCGTGAAGAACATAAATTTCGAGATTGGCAGGGCCTTTCAGTGGTGTGCTAGAACTGACTCCTACTGGCTCATGAGAGCCAGTTTATTAAGCTTTCAGGGATTTTTGCAAGCTATTGCTAAATGCGGTCATTATTAAAAATTAATTATTTCGGGGGCGCCTGGGTGGCTCAGTTGGTTAAAGGTCTGCCTTCGGCTCAGGTCATCATCCCAGAGTCCTGGGATTGAGCCCCATGTTGGGCTCCCAGCTCAGTGGGGACTCTGCTTCTCCCTCTCCCTCTCCTCCTCCCCCGCTCGTGTTCTCGCTCTCTCTCTCTCAAATAAATAAATAAAATCTTTTAAAAAAAATCATGTCCTTAATTAAAAAAATTATTTTGTAGTTACTTTACTATTGTTTATGCTTTTGAGTGTATTTGTATCTATTTTATCTTCATGGTGAAAATACTATCTAGTTAAGCATTACTGCTCATCTTTCGATAGCCCCACATTCAGCGATGTCACGTTGGTACCTTGAAATTGACCATAGCAGTAGGATTTACAGCACAGAAAGTGGCAAGTGCTGCAAATCATGGCTTTTGCCCCCAGATAAATAATTATTAAATTTTTATTAGCTCCATCAACTACCTAATGAAAAAAAAACCCATACTGAAGCACATCATCATGAAGTTTTGGAACATTGAGGGGCACCTGGGTGGCTCAGTCGATTGGGTGTTCGACTCTTGATTTTGGCTCAGGTCATGGTCTTGGGGTCATGGGATCAAGCCCCATGTTGGGCTCCATGTGGAACCTCTTTAGGATTCTCTTTCTCCCTCTCTTTGCCCCTCTCCCCCCACGGTCTCTCTCTCTTTCTCTAAAATAAATAAATCTTTTAAAAATGAAGTTTTGGAACAATGGGGATAAAGAGAAAATTGTAAAAACTTGTATAAAGAACATATTTCACATGTTAAAAAATAAGCCATCAGCTTCCCAGGGGAATTCTGTCAGACATTTAAAGAAGAATTAATACCTATTCTCCTGAAACTGTTCCAAAAAATAGAAATGGAAGGAAAACTTCCGAACTCATTTTATGAGGCCAGCATTACCTTGATCCCAAAACCAGACAAAGACCCCATCAAAAAGGAATTACAGACCAATATCCTTGATGAACATGGATGCAAAAATTCTCACCAAAATACTAGCCAATAGGATCCAACAGTACATTAAAAGGATTATTCACCACGACCAAATGGGATTTATCCCTGGGCTGCAAGGCTGGTTCAACATCCGCAAATATATCAACGTGATACAATACATTAACAAAAGAAAGAACAAGAATCATATGAACCTCTCAATAGATGCAGAAAAAGCATTTGACAAAGTACAGCATCCTTTCTTGATCAAAACTCTTCAGAGTAGAGGGATAGAGGGTACATACCTCAATATCATAAAAGCCATCTATGAAAAACCTACAGCGAATATCATTCTCAATGGGGAAAGGCTGAGAGCTTTTCCCCTAAGGTCAGGAACGCGGCAGGGATGTCCACTCTCACCACTGCTATTCAACATAGTATTAGAAGTCCTAGCCACAGCAATCAGACAACAAAAAGAAATCAAAGGCATCCAAATCGGCAAAGAGGAAGTCAAACTCTCACTCTTTGCAGATGATATGATACTGTATGTGGAAAACCCAAAAGACTCCACCCCAAAACTGCTAGAACTCATACAAGAATTCAGTAAAGTAGCAGGATATAAAATCAATGCACAGAAATCAGTGGCATTCCTATACACCAACAACAAGACAGAAGAGAGACAAATCCAGGAGTCGATCCCATTTACAATTGCACCCAAAACCATTAGATACCTAGGAATAAATCTAACCAAAGAGGCAAAGGATCTGTACTCAGAAAACTATAAAATACTCATGAAAGAAATTGAAGAAGACACAAAGAAATGGAAAAACGTTCCATGCTCATGGATTGGGAGAACGAACATTGTGAAGATGTCAATGCTACCTAGAGCAATCTACACATTCAGTGCAATCCCCATCAAAATACCATCCACCTTTTTCAAAGAAATGGAACAAATAATCCTAAAATTTGTATGGAACCAGAAGAGACCCCGAATCGCCAGAGGAATATTGAAAAAGAAAAGCAAAGCTGACAGCATCACAATTCCGGACGTCCAGCTCTATTACAAAGCTGTCATCATCAAGACAGTATGGTACTGGCACAAAAACAGACACATAGATCAATGGAACAGAATCGAGAGCCCAGAAATGGACCCTCAACTCTATGGTCAACTTATCTTTAACAAAGCAGGAAAGAATGTCCAGTGGAAAAAAGACAGTCTCTTCAACAAATGGTGTTGGGAAAATTGGACAGCCACATGCAGAAGAATGAAACTGGACCATTTCCTTACACCACACACAAAAATAGACTCCAAATGGTTGAAAGACCTAAACGTGAGACAGGAGTCCATCAAAATCCTAAAGGAGAACACAGGTAGCAACCTCTTCGACTTCAGCCACAGCAACTTCTTCCTAGAAACATCGCCAAAGGCACGGGAAGCCAGGGCAAAAATGAACTATTGGGATTTCATCAAGATAAAAAGCTTTTGCACAGCAAAAGAAACAGTCCACAAAACCAAAAGACAACCGACAGAATGGGAGAAAATATTTGCAAATGACAGATCAGATAAAGGGCTAGTATCCAAAATCTATAAAGAACTTACCAAACTCAACACCCTAAGAACAAATAATCCAATCAAGAAATGGGCAGAAGACATGAACAGACATTTTTCCAAAGAAGACATCCAAATGGCCAACAGGCACATGAAAAAGTGCTCAACATCGCTCGGCATCAGGGAAATCGAAATCAAAACCTCAATGAGATACCACCTCACACCCGTCAGAATGGCTAAAATTAACAAGTCAGGGAACGACAGATGTTGGCGGGGATGTGGAGAAAGGGGAGCCCTCCTACACTGTTGGTGGGAATGCAAGCTGGTGCAACCACTGCTGGAAAACAGTATGGAGGTTCCTCAAACAGTTGAAATTAGAGCTACCATTCGATCCAGCAATTGCACTACTGGGTATTTACCCCAAAGATACAAATGTAGGGACCTGAAGGGGTACGTGCACCCCAATGTTTATAGCAGCAATGTCCACAATAGCCAAACTGTGGAAAGAGCCAAGATGTCCATCGACAGATGAATGGATAAAGAAGAGGTGGTATATATACACAATGGAATATTATGCAGCCATCAAAAGGAATGAGATCTTGCCATTTGCAACGACACGGATGGAACTGGAGGGTGTTGTGCTTAGTGAAATAAGTCAATCAGAGAAAGACATGTATCATATGACCTCACTGATATGAGGAATTCTTAATCTCAGGAAACAAACAGAGTGTTACTGGAGTGGTTGGGGGTGGGAGGGATGGGGTGGCTGGGTGATAGACACTGGGGAGGGTATGTGCTACGGTGAGCGCTGTGAATTGTGCAAGACTGTTGAATCACAGATCTGTACTTCTGAAACAAATAACGCAACATATTTTAAGAAAAGAGAAAAAGAAGAAGATAACAGGAGAGGAAGAATGAAGGGGAGTAAGTCAGAGGGGGAGAGGAACCATGAGAGATGATGGACTCTGAAAAACAAACTGAGGGTTCTAGAGGGGAGGAGGGCAGGGGGATGGGTTAGCCTGGTGATGGGTATTAAAGGGGGCACATTCTGCATGGAGCACTGGGTGTTATGCACAAACAATGAATCATGGAACACTACATCAAAAACTAATGATGTAATATATGGTGATTAACATAACAATAAAAAATAAAAAAAAATAAGCCATCAGATAGCTTGAAGCCAATAAAATCATGCCTTCGGGATTCTGTGAAAAAAATGATTTCCAGTCTAGATATTTTATATCCAATAGGGTGGAACAAAGACATTTTCAGACATGAAAGTTCTCAAAAAATTACCTCTCCTGTACCTTTTCTAGGGAAGCCTCTGGAAAATGTATTTTCCACATAAACCAACAATTATCATTTTGATATATTTCTTCATCTTTTTTTAGGCCTGAAAAAAATTTTTTTTTTAAGCTTTTATTTATTTGACAGAGAGCGAGCCAGAGAGCACAAACTGGGGGTGCGGCAGAGGCAGAGGGAGAGGGTGAAGCAGGTTCTCCACTGAGCAGGGAGCCCGATGCAGGGCTCTATCCTAGGGATCATGGGATCATGCCCTGAGCTGAAGGCAGACGCTTAACCAACTGAGCCACCCAGGCACCCCTTTTTCTTTGTTTTTTAATCATACTGTGTAGACAGAATGTAGCCTGTTTCTTTTACTTACCATTATGATAAACATTGCCTCTGTGACTGTGTAATCTTTGAAAATTAGTTTTCCAGTAGGTTTTTAATTTTCCGTCCCTTTATCATTATCATAAACAGTGCTGTATTGAATGTGCACAGAGATTTTTCTGCATGTGGGATTGCTTCCTTCAGGTAAATTTCTAGAAGAGTAGAAATACTTGGTCAAAGGGTATTAAATTTAGTATTCATGCCAGTTGTGAGAAATAATTGCTCTGTTGTTATTACTAAAAGTAAGTGAGATACGTGACTCTGTGTCCATGTTTCTGGTCTTTAGATACTGATGTTTCCGTGGGAGTACAGGCAGCTAGCTCCCAGACTTGAAATGAGGGATGAAGAATTTGTTGAAAGTTTTGATGAAAGTTGGCTTATAACTGATCCCAAGAAGAGTCAGAGAGAGGCTGCTCTTCTCCTCGGGATTCTCTGCTCTCTACAACTCCTTTCTAATGCAAGCTGAGGCTGTTATTTGGGGGAAGTAGATTTGAGTAGAAGTGTTGTCATAGAATAGTTACACTCATTTTAAACTTACTTGGAGAGTCTTTGTTAACTTTTCTAAAGTAATTTAATGTTCCCACTTCAAATTCTATTTTCTGGTTTTTGAGAATATTTGTAGCCAGGCAGACTTGGGATGTATGAAAGTTCTGACTTCCTTCACTATCTAGATTTCTATTTACAGAATGAGTTGTTTTTAGACATGTTTTATCAATTTAAAATCCAAGGCAGCTTTGCGTGCCTGCTAACGCAGCCTTCCTCACTGGTGCTTTATTTTAGGTTTAAAGACACTATTGTAAATGCCAAGTATGGAGGGCACACAGAGGCAGTGCGCCGGCTGCTGGGCCAGCTCCCCATCAGTGCACAGTCTTACAGCGGTAGCCCCTACCTTGATTTGTCTCTCTTCAGCTACGATGACAAGTGGGTGTCTGTCATGGAGCGACCCAAGACTTGTGGAGATCACCCTATCAGGTACACCATCACTGCTTCAGCTGCTAACTGCCTAAGGGCTAAAGATGGCCTGCTTTCTCTCTCTCTCTCCTTGGACCTCATTCCACTGTGACTGTGCCCACTTGTACTCATGGGTTGAATTGGAAGGACAGGCTGTTTCTATAATGTGGTGAGTGCTTTTGATCATGTAGGCACTGGTCTCATAAATTAAGTAGTTCTGCTCTTTGCAAAACATCCAATTTCAGATAAGTGTTGTTCCCTTTTAAAGGTATCCAGGGTAGGAAACCACACACCATTTCGTAATAGTGTTTATAGTTGAGACTTTCTAATTTTATTTCACTCAAATTCTTTTATCCCCTCATGTTATTTAGTAGAAAAGATAGCAGAGATAATTTGGGGGAACAGGCAGGTTTTGGAGAAACTCATGCTTCCTCACTTGAGAAATTTTGGAATGTAGACTACTGTGTTATTGCTAGAACCTTGAAAACTAAGCAGTCCTTCCCTCACAAATGTCCACTCCACAGACCCCCCCGCCTCCGTTTTGGGAGCTTGTGTTGTTCTGTGTGCTGTGTTAGGTCCTAGGGAGAGGAACTGGTACCACCACCACCCGTGGGGTGATTTCAGGGGAGGTGTGTTCCTCGAACCCTTAGCTGGAGAGTGGAAGGCCTTTTCATATGGAAACAGTGGTGGGTAGTGTTTCATGATCCAGCTTCATTGTATATTAAATAGGCTTGTGTAACACATTCTAAACAGTTAATCACCTCTGATGGTATTTCCTTTGGAAAATTGCAGTCATGTTCCAAAAACCAGTTAACTTTTTTTTTAAATTACAGAATTTATTTATAAATTATAAATATATAAATTTATTTTTTTAAACATATAAAACGTGGAAGAGTATAATGAACCTGCATGTACCCATCACCCAATTTTAACAGTTACCAGCTCATGGTCAATGTTGTCATCTCTTTCCACCCACTCCCCACCCCCCCCAACTGCCACCCTTGATTATTCTGAAGCAAATCCCAGATTTTATAGCATTTTACTCATAGATATTTTGGCATGAATTTCTAAAAGATAAGAACTTAGAAAAATATAACCTCCATACCATTATTCTATCTTAAGAAAACTATCAGAACTTTATGACGACCACCAAGTACCTAGTTTTCACATTTTCCTGCTGTCTTGTAAATATTCTTTTTATGGTTCCATTTGTTCCCATCAGGATCATACATTGCGTTTGGTCGCCACTCCCTTAAGTCCATTTTATCCTATAGGTTCTGCTTCCCTCTTATTTTCCTGGCAGTGAAATTGTCCTGTAGTGTTGCCCACATTCTGGAGTCTGCTCACTGCATCCCTGGGGGAGTATTTACGATTTCTCTCATCCTCGCACATTTCCTGTGAACTGGTAGTTAGATTTAGAAGCTCAAACGACTCACTTTACCTTACAAGCCCTTTGTGTGTTGGGGACTGTGTGGGTAAGGTGACTGGTTTTCACACATAAAAGGATATCACGGGCCTCATTTGATATTGTCAAGGTAGCATGAGATACATTCCTCTCCTTTCTAACCTGCCTTTCTAGTTTGAAAAGAGAGTAACCTAAGTAACAAATTTGGAAATGCCTATTGCTGCTGACTAAAGGGGTTTTTCACTTATTTTTAATTTAAAATGAGAAATGTGAGGATACTAAAGGCTTTGGAAGAGGAAATGCCATGACTTGAACACCTGTATCGTATGTTCCATTCTAGTCCTTGTCACTATGCATGTTCACATGGACATTGTTGTAATCCTGGTTGGCGTCGTTCTTTGTAGCCTGCTTTTTGTGTGTGTTACATAGTCCTCAGAGTTACAGTCCTAATGACAGCACATTATTCCCTCGGTTAGATGTACTGCAGTTGATTGAACTAGTCCCCTGTCACGGAGCCTTTATTCTCCTGCATTTTTACATGGGAGCTGTGCTAGAGTCACTGTCTTTATCCATATCACTATGTCCTCCATTTAAATTAAATTCTGAGGATATAAATTCATGGAAATGGGATTATTGAGTCAGAGGCCATGAATATCTTTATATCTGCCATACGTTTGCTTTCCGAAAGGGAAGTTATAGACCTCTGTAATTCAGAGCTCTTCATTTTCTGGACTTCCCTTAATTCAGCCCCAACCCCTAAACATCTCTAGTTCCTGATAGCCAAGGACACTTATTTTGCTTATGGGAAAATGTCTTTAAGCATGGGGATGAATGGAAGTATTAGATGAAAAATGAACAACTACTTAGTATTTTGTTTTTGTGTGTGAAAAAGAAGGACCTTCCGAAAGAATATATTCTTAAAAATGAAAAACTCACATATGGGCCCAGATCTGCACTGTCCTGGATAGTAACCACTCACCACATGTGGTTGTTAAGTGCTTAAAATGTGACTAGTCCATATTGAGACATGCTCACGTGTCACACATCAGATTTCAAAGGCTTAATACAAAAAACCGAATGTGAAATATCTCATTAATTTTTTTTTACCTGGATTATAGGTTGAAACAATAATATTTTGATACCAGTATTGGCTTAAATAAAATATATTACTAAAATTAATTTCACCTTTCTCTTTTTACCTTTTTTAATGTGGCTACCTAGAAATTTAAAAGTATACATGTGGCTTGCATTTCATTTCTAGCCTGACCTAGACAGTCTTGGGGCAGCTTTTCTGGAAACGGGGAGGCCGTAGTTAAGGCTATGACTAAGGGTCATCTTGGGAAAGAGAAATGACCCAGTGATTCAGGACAGCACGGTAAAATTCATAATGCCCTTGTGCATAAAATGAGCTCCTCAGACAAAGATGGTTTTGCATTTCTGGTAACCTGGGGCCGATGTAAGAGGAGATACTGTAAGATTAAATAACGAGTTGCCGCATTCCTGTGCTGTGCAGGTTTCAAGATGGTGGTGACTATCTATACCGTCTTCTCTTTCTCTTCTTGTTCTGTTCAGGTTCTATGCCCGGGACTCTGGTCTGCTCAAGTTTGAGATCCAGGCAGGCTTACTGGGCCGCCCCATCAACCACACAGTGCGACGCCTTGTTGCCTTCACCTTTCACCCGTTTGAGCCTTTTGCTATTTCAGTGCAGAGGACTAATGCTGAGTATGTTGTCAACTTCCATATGCGACACTGCTGCACGTAGGTGCCTCGCCAAAGCCCAATTATCTGGTCTTCCAAGACATTGCCCCCTGTTTATCTCGGTGGACTCTGAAGCAAGAGCTCCTGGCTGCCAGCTTTGTCGGTTCCAGACTGTGGTACCTCACATGGGGAGAGCCAGAGAGAGGAGCGAGGTGGCTCAGCCTAATGGAATCGTTATCGTCTCCGACTACTGATTGACTGAAAGTCCTCTGGTCTTTTCCCTGTGGGAATGTCCAGCATTAATTAAGTCCATTTAATTTTTGTCTTATTTTGCATTTTATTGCAAAGGGACAGCCCCTTGGCGTCCGTGCTTTGGCATTATGGTATACGCAGTCTGAAGCGGGGATGTCTTGTTGACTCATGGGAACTGTGCACATCCTTCCATGTGGCCGACAACAGGGCTGTCTTTATAAAAAAAAAGAATAATAAAGCCTTGGTATTTTCTTACTTAGATATATCCCGTTTGATGATTGCCTTATGTCCTGATCTCACCAAAAGCTTTTCACCTCCATGGGTTCCGGGAAGGCCTGTGAAAGGGGCCAGAGGCCGTGGCTCCAGCAGGCACCCTGGGGAGAACTTAGTGGTGTGTGCCAGTGTGGAAGAGCGTTCTCGGCCAGGACTGTTTCCTTCCCTGGGGTTTTCTCCTGGTAATTGTTACAGCTGGAGGAACTGGGCATAATTGCACATTGTCATGAGGAAGCATGCTCCCATCTGTACCGTCTGTGTCATGCGGGTGGAGGAGTGAGCGGTTCTCTTTGGCCACAGCAGAGACAGACGCTGTGTAGCATGTACAGCGACTGGGGAGAGAGCTGGCAGGCTCCTGGCGTCACGGAAGACATCAGACCAGTTGTTCCTGGACGACTGAGCCATCACAGCTCCTACAGACACCTGCTGGGCCCCAGCCCACCTCCTTCTGTACAGTCTTGGCTGGTGTCCTCCAGCGGCCTGGTCAGGCTGTTTATGTTTCATGTGCGTAACGTATCCACCATTTATGTAGTAAGCTTGTTCAGTACCTCTGACTTTGAAAGCAGCCTCAAAATGTTGGGTTTCAGAGCAGGTTGTGAAAGGTGCTATGGATGCAGATGGATTCTGTATCCCTCTGACATCCCTTGGGAACGTGACAAATGTGAGAGACACTGAGCCCCACTAAAAGCAGTTCAGCTCATTTCATCATCTTCGGTATCGAACAGCTAAATTCACTCTCATTCAGCATTCAACGCAGGATTTGAGCACCGAGTATGAGGCAGGTAGGTGCTATGCTCTGATGTGGGGGTTGAGGAGAGACAGAGAGAATTTTAATGCAGAACCGCCAAAGCCCCTATAGCGGTTGTCTGGGAATGGTGGAGGAGGGTGAAGGAGAGGTGGAGAAGGAAAGCTCTGCTGGTGAAGGGACACTGGAACTGGATAAATGGGAGTGTGTTGTGTGAACCAGGGCCGAGGACAAACGTTTCAAGGAGAGCTCCAGCATGCCCAGAGGCGTAGAAGCACGAAAAGGCCCGTCAGGGCTGTGGAATGGTAAATAACAGGGCTGCGGCACCAGCTGTGGGGGAATCCAGGGGAATGTGGCCGAATCGTGAAGAAGAGTCTTGTGCGTGGTGCTAGGGTTTTGTGCAGTGGAAGAACTAATCCGAATTTCACAAAGACCATGTTTAGCAGTCCGGAAGTCAGGGGCACTAGAGACTGGAAATAAGCCGACAAGCCTGTAGGTGGTAATCCAAAGGAGAACGGGAGGGTTAGGATGACATCCCTGGGCGGCATCGGGAAGGGTGAAATACTGAGGCATCCTCCTAGATTCTTTGTAGGTCATAACAAAATCAGGGTTCCACAGCAGTCACGTTTGTGGGGCCCAAGGAATCTTTCCTTGTAGACGCACTTTACCTGCAGCTTTGTCTTGGACTGGGTCGATCAGTTGTGCCTGAGTGACTCGCAGCGTGGAAAGAGCACGGAGTGTGAAGTCACTTGGGCCTCATTGTGAATCCCCTCCTTCCTGCCCATTGGCTCTGTGACCCTGGGCCCATTTCCTAGCCTTTTTGAAGCTCAGTTTGTACTCCCCTCCACCTTACTCATCCACTCTCCTGGTCGTATCTTTCATTACCTCTGAATACTGAGCAGTCCTCATATACCTTCCTCATCTGTTTACTCTCCCACTATCTGGAATTGCTGCTGGACACCTTCATTTCTCTTCACAACTCCTCCTCCCATTTCTCATGAACACCTTGCCCCCCACTCCGTGACAGAAATAGAAACAAGTGGGAATTCCCTTATCTTTCACCATATCAACCACGTGACTTGGCGTGTGTGCTCCTTCCCTGCCTTTCCTCCCGAGTGAAGTAGCCCTGCTTCTATAGCAGGCCAACCCCTCCACCTGCTCACTGAATCTTATCTCTTCTTGACTCTTCCATGTCTTCGCTCCCACGATGATTCTTTCCTGCGTCTTCCTCTTGCTAGGTCATTCCTGTCAGCACGTTAGATACCCTCTAGGATCTTCTTTCCTTAAAACCTCCTGCTTTGGCCTCTTTTCCCACGTTAGTTACCGCCCATCTCTCTGTTACCCCTCTCAGAAAAACTCAGGAGAGTTGTCCAAATTAAACGCTGTCACCCCACCACGTTCCATTTTTCCTCTGCCTGCTCCACATAGGCCTCAGTCCTCCCGCTCTACTGAAACTTGTGTCCAGGTGACTCCATGGTGCCAATTCTGCGCTCACCCCTTTTCCTCTCCTACTCAGCCTCCCGACATTGGTCATAACTCATTTCTCTATCAAGAACCACTCGCTTCTCTTGGTTTCCAGGACAGTATGTGTTCCGGTTTTCTTCCTGCCTTGCTCATTGTTGCTTTTTAGTTCCTGTGCCGGCTTCTTCTTTTCGGTTCTACGTGTAGATACCAAGTGCCCCAACCCTTGGCCTTGGATCCTCACTTCATTTCCTCTGTATGTAATTTCTTTAATTGATTTCTTCCATTCCCCAGGTCTTAAATTCTAGCTATATGCTGATGTGTCTCAAAATTGTAATTCCAGCCCTGACCCCTCCCTTGATCTCCAAATTCCTATACCCCGTGGCTTACATGGCATCTTCATTTGAATGTCTAATAGGTGTTTCAAAACCAGCACATCCAAAACAGTGCTCTTGATTCCCACCGCCACCCCCCAACCTGTTTTTCCTTCAAGAACTACCATATGGCCTCAGTGTCTACCCATTTACTTCAGGCAATAACTTAGGAACTGTTTTCAGTTTTCCTTTTTTCCATCCGCTTCCTCTCCCCACACCACCCACACCTCTGACTTCACTCTGGGGATATGCATGCCCTGAGCAGTCTGAACTAATCATGGTAATCCTATACTCCTTGTTAGTGACCAGCACTAGAACTAGGTCCAGAGCAGTTGGCAGAAGGGATGAGTTTACAGATGTCATGTGACTTAGGTCAATGATACTGTGAGGTAAAGGTTTCTGGAATCGCTGGGGGAACATTTCTCTTTTGAAAATGTCAGTGGGGAACCGTGTAGCCTCTAGTTCCACTATCCACCACCCATGATCCTGTCCAAAAAGAATCAGCCTGAGGAGGAAGCTGACCTGGAGGGCAGAATGGAGAGAGGAAAGAACCTGGATCATAGAGGAGACGGTTGACTGGATCACACAACCTTGAAACCCACCTTACAGCTGGATTTCCAGTTCTGTGAGACAATAAGTTTCCATTCTGTTTAAGGCACTTCGAATTGGGTTTTTTGTTTCTTATAATTGAAAGCAAATTAATGGATGCAAAGAGGAAGACTGGTCCCCTGTGGAAAGAGTCATGAAATTCCAGCTGGCTGGGTACCTTCTTAGATTGGGTTTGAAAAGGCCCAATTATGATTCCTGTTCTTGGATTTATGTAAGATTCCTGGCTTGCCTGTAGCCCCCTGCATCCATACCTCAGATGGCCTCTTGTACCTGAAAGGATGTAACTAAAATGAGAAAGCATTCAGCTCATGGAGCACTTGACCCATATGAAGTTCACAACCCCTACGTGTTCATATTAACTTTGTTTCTAAAGGATTTAAGGCTGCTCTCAGTAAATTCTAGTACCTTCTCTCTACAGATGTCCAGTGAATCTCAAGAATCTTTGGAGAAACAAGTTCTTTGGAACCAAAATGTTTAAGGAAAGCAGAGACTTCCAGGGATATCTCTTTCAGATCTCAGTTCTTCCCTGAAACTCTCTCCTCTCATCCCTACTCTGCAGGGGCCGGCATGTCAATGATCAGTGCCAAGTCGCTCTGGACCTTTGAGAGAAAGGCTCCATTTAAATTCAGCAAAACCTCTTTCATTCAGAGTCCTTGTAGAGAAGCACAGTGTACATCAGTGAAAAGCCTAAATTAGATAATTTTTAAAAGAACAGTAGCTTCATTATTTTCAAGTACACCGAGTAACTCCATCTCAGCCATGAAGTGTTCCTTTGTAGAAGCCCTTAGAGACTTTTCCTTAATGAATGGATTATAATTATTGGTAATCAGCATAACAGTTCTCTGCACTACGTGCTTCGAAAGGAATTGAGTATATTAAGTGATTTTGATGTTCCAGAGGGCAATTTTATTTACAACATTCATCTGCTCAGTGTATACCCTTTATAGTTGTAACCCTCTGTTGTTTAAAAAGAAAAAAAGAAAAATTCTGAAGACTCTCTCCATCACACGACATTTGATTATCAGAAGCAGAAATAGTGCAGGAGGAGAGAGATACATAGTAGGACTCGTTCTTTACCTGTGGTGTCCCGACAGAACTGCGGGAACAGCTCAGGCTTGCGAGTGGGGCCAGGTGCAAACCCTGGGCTTCATAAAATAATTTGAGTTCTAGTTTTTCTGTAAAATGGGCTGACGTCTACTTTGCAGGGCTGATGTGAGCACTAAATGAGTATTAAAGCTCTAAATACAGTAAGTACTTAATAAATGCTAGCTGCCTTTCTCTAGATTCCTTGGTCTGTGTGGGAGGCTCATGCCTCTTTCATGTCAGAGAGACTATGCTCAGCCCTGATGGTGCCTCTTCATTCCTTGCTGATCGAGAAGCATGAGCTTGCCCCTTCTCCAGGCCCAACCCTTGCACAGGAGACCAGGGGCTTTTGAGGTGGGGTCTTTCTGCTGCTGCGGTCTCTGTCCCCGGCAGACCCATGTCTGAGAAGACCAGAACATCCCTGACCCTCTTTGCAGCCAAACACATTGGATGAAAAGGAGCCTTGTTTGCTGAGAGTTTGTTGTTGTTGATTGTGAACGTGTATTAAGCATTTACTGTGGGGCCAGAAGCTAGGTAAGCACCTTACATCGGAAGGTGTTCCTTTATTTCATCAATTTGGGGATGCATTTTTCAGGATTGGAGTGTATCTAATATCAGTGTCTTATCAGTGATGCTAGACAGTGACTGTGACGTCACTGTTGTCACATGTTCATGTGACACACTTGTCGTCAGCCCTGTTGAGTAATATGCACTGGGGATACCGTGTGCATGCTATTTAAAATGTCTTCAAAAAGATTACACTGTGATTTGGTGCTGAAATGAAAGGTTATTTTGTATACAGAAAGGTACAGATGCAGAGTAGCGTGGTTAATTTTGGTATTAGTGAAGCAAAGGTTTGCCACTGAAGGAATGAACGTGACGCCATATATTTTTGCAAAGCAGCAACCAGGGGCTTTTTGGAACTGAGAAAGAAAGCAAGATAACTACTGGCAAATGAGGTTTTATTGGCATGCTGATATTAGTGCACAAGGATTGCCTATCAAACACCAAACAGGGCACATGAATGAAGGGGAAGTTATCACATGCCTTGGAATAAATGGAAGAAGTTTTAATGCAGTGAGAGGCCTGGTGTGACCAATTCATGCAAAGCACAGGACTAATCACTAAGGTGTGAACCAAAATTGTCGGAAACTTCATGCTGATTTTGAACAGAAGCTGATTAACTTCCAGGGGCCATGTGATTCCAAATAGGAAGAAGATGACACTAGAGCTGAAGTCAGGTGAAAAATGCTGACACTGGCTGTTCTTCAGCATGCCCCTCCTGCCTCTAACTCCAAAAAAGGCCTAAAATGCTCTTTGCATAAGTATATATTTTAAGGCTCCTAGGACTTGTTTTAATTCAACACACAGACATGGAAATGACTGTCATGAAGGAAGAAGTCTGTTTTCCTTACAGGTCTCTAGACACAGGAGGCATGGCGTGCCTTGCTTCCGTGGGGAAGCACCTGGGTCACTCAGGAGGTAGGGGAGCCAGGGGAAATGTAGGTGAGAGCCTTTATTGTGGTTTCTTTTTCTTTTTCTTTTTTTTTTTATAACTTTTTTTAAAGATTTTGTTAGAGAGCATGAGCGGGGGGAGAGGGGACAGAGGCAGAGGGAGAAGCAGGCTCCCCACTCAGCAAGGAGCCCGATGCGGGACTTGATCCCAGGACCCTTGGGATCATGACCTGAGCCAAAGGCAGATGCTTAACCGACTGAGCCACCCAGGCTCCCTTTATTGTGGTTTCTATAAGAAGGAACAGGGCAAGGTTGGCTAGTGGGAATAATTTTGGTGGGCTCTGGAACATAGGGACTGTTCCTAGTTGTCTGATACCTGGCTCTGAGGTATTAGGGCAGCCAGACAGTGGCCCAGAGTGTAAGATTACAATAAAGGAGGTGGTTGGGGGTATTGGCTCTGGATTGGTTGGTGTGCAAATAAAGGCACACTCCCAGGTGAGTCGTTTGCTATCTCTAGGAATTAGCTAACCCTGGGAGGGCCAGTCCCTATAGGGTCAGTGAGGTCCTAACATGTCAAAGCATCAAAAAATAAAAGGCATGGTTAGTACAGTATAAAATAGCAGTTCCAAGTAATAAGAAAGCCTTGTCATGGTATTATTATCTGGGTTCTTTTTTGTTAGTGACACATTGTTGGTAGCCAGCCTCCAAGAGGGCCCATCATGTTTCCATCTCCTAGATTTATTCTCTTGTGTCGTTCCCTCCCACATTGGATCTGGGTTGGTCTGTCTGTGTAACTAAGACAAAACAGCAGAAGTGTGAGCTGGTTACTTTCAAGCCCAGGTTATAAAAGGCATTTCAGGGCTAGGCTTCTGCGTCTACTCTACTCCCAGCCCTCCACCCCTCCTTGAATCACTCACTCAGGGAAACCAGCTGTCATGAGGACATTCAGGCAACCTTCTGGAGAGACCCACTTGGCTTCTTGCTAATAGCCATGTGAGAGAGACCTTTTGGAAGTGGATCCTTCAGCCTCAATCAAGCCAATGGATGACTGCTGCCTCAGGGGAAACCCTGAAGAGGAACCACCCAGCCAAGCCACACTCAGCACAGAGTCCGCTTGGGATTCTCTCCCTCTGCCCTTGCCCCACGCCCCCGTCTCTCTAAAATAAATAAATAAATAAATATTAAAAAAAAATTCTCCCTCTGCCCCTCCCACTCGTGTGCACATTCTCTCTAAAATAAATAAATAAATCTTAAAAAAAAAAAAAAGCCACCTAGCCAAGCCACTTACAGATTCTTGACTCTCAGAGATTGTGTGAGATAAACGTTTTATGCTGCTGAATTTGGGGGGTAATTTGTCATATAACAATATATAATTAACACACAAATTATGGTATGTTTTGCAATATAACACCTTGTATTTGAAAAATGCTGAGACTAAGTGATTTGCTCATCATTACGTAGGTGAAACTGTAATCCAGCCCGTGTCAGAATCCATTCAAATCCTGGATTTATATAGGTCTAAACTGGTATTTTACTGATTACCAATAACATTAGTAGTGAATTCTGATGTTTTTGTGCTTCTGTATCCACTCCTTCCCTTACAGGGGGCACGACCAACAAAGGTATCTTTTATTTGAGGTTGAAAATATATTCCACATATTTCTCCCTCTTCACTCTAGTGTGTAGGTTGGCTTATTTGTTCACTTATGTATTTCAATTTTATTGAGGACCTACAAAGTGCCAGGAACTAAGAACATAAGAATTTGTAAGTTCTAGACCCCAACCTTTGAGTTTCTGAAAATGTTTCCAAATACAGCTACACGTCCGAGATACCGCAGGTTCCTTCCACGGCACTGAAAGAAAAGGAGTATCCCGATAAAACGAGTCGAATGTTTTTGTTTGCCTGTGCATATACAAGCTAGGTTTGCATTATGCTACAGTCTGTTAAATGTGCAAAGTATGGCTAAATAATGCTGTCGTCTGTGCTTTCGGTGAGTTGTAATGTTTTTGCTGGTGGAGGGTCTTGCCTTGGACTGGTGGGTGCTGAAGGTTGGGGCGGTTTCTTACAATAAGGCAACAGTGAAGTTTGCTGCATCGATTTGACTCTTCCTGTCATGAACGATTTCTCTGTAGCAGGCAATGCCGTTTGATAGCCTCTTTCCCACAGTCCAACTTCTTTTCAGAATTGGAGTCTGTCCTCTCAAACCCTGCTGCTGCTTTTTCAACTAAGTGTGTGTAATATTCTAAATCCTTTGTTGTCATCCCACAGCCTCTCCACCAGGAGTCGATCCCATCTCAGGAAACCACTTTCTTTGCTCTTCCACAAGAAGCAGCTTCTCCTCCGTTCGAGTTTGACCGTGAGATCACAGCAGTTCAGTCCCACCTTGAGGCTCCACTAGTAATTCTAGTTCTCTTGCTGTTTCCACCACATCTGCAGTGACTTCCTCCACAGACGTCATGAACCCCTCAAAGTCATCCACGAGGGTTGGAATCAGCTTCTTCCAAACTCTGTTAATATTGATATATTGATATTTTGACCTCTTTCTATAAATCACGAATGTTCTTAATGGCATCCAGAATGGTGAATCCCTTCCAGAAGGTCTTCAGTTTACTCTGTCCAGATCCAGCAGAGGAATCACTATCTATGGCAGCTATAGTCTTATGAAATTTATTCAGTAATAAGACTTGAAAGTCGAAATTACTTCTAGACCCATGGGCTACAGAATGAATGTTGTATCAGCAGGTGTGCAAAGAACATCAGTCTCCTCGTACATCTCCGTCAGAGCTCCTGGGGGAGCAGGTGCATTGTCAATGAGCAGTAATATCTTGACAGGAATCTTCTGAGCAGTAGGCCTCAACAGTGAGCTTGAAATATTTAGTGTACCACGTTGTAAACATACGTACTGTCCGGGTTTTGTTGTTCCATTGACAGAGCCCAGGCACAGTGGATTTAGCATAATTCTTTGGGTCCCCAGGATTTTCAGAACGGTACATGAGCACAGGCTTCAGCTTAAAGTCAGCGTCTGCATTAGCCCCTAACGATAGAGTCAGCCCAACCTTTGAAGCTTTGTAGCCACGCCCTGACCCTCCCTCTCGGGCTGTGGAAGTCCTAGATGGTATCATCTTCTGACAGAAGGCTGGTTGGTCCACACTGAAAATCCGTTGTGTAGTGGAACCACCTTCATGAATGATCTCCGCTAGAGCTTCCGGAGACCTCGCTGCTGCTTCTCCATCAGCCCTTGCTGCTTCACCTTGCAGTTTGATGTTGTGGAGACGGCGTCTTTCCTCAAACCTCACGAACCAACTCTGCTAGCTTCAGACTTGTCTTCTGCAGCTTCGTCCCCTCTCTCTGCCTTCACAGAACTGAAGAGAGTGAGGCCTTGCTCCGGATTAGGCTTTGGCTTAAGGGGATGTTGTGGCTGTTGGAGCTTCTGTCCAGACCACTAAGACTTTGTCCATATCAGCAGTAAGGCTGTTTCACTTTGTTATCATTTGTGGGTTCACTGGCATAGCACTTGTAATGTCCTTCCAGAACTCTTCCTTTGCATTCACAACTTGTCTGTTTGGGGCGAGCGGCCTGGCTTTCGGCTTATCTAGACTTTCAACACACCTTCCTCTCACTGAGCCTAATCATTTCTAGCTTTTGAAATGAGAGATGTGTGACTCTTCCTTTCACTTGGACACTTAGAGGCTATCGTCGGGTTGTTAATTGGCCTACTTTCAAGTAGGAATCAGGGACGCCCGAGGAGAGGGAGAGAGAGGGGTGAACAGCTGGTGGACGGAGCAGTCCGAACACACACAAAACCATTACATAACATCGAAGATCATGGATCACAGATCGTCCTAAAATAACAATAATGAAAAACTCTGAACTATTGCGCAAATTACCAAATGTGACACAGAGGCTCAAAGTGAGCAAATGCTATTAGAACAATGGCGCCAATAAACTTGCTAGGCTTGGGGTTGCCCTGTGAAACTGCGGTGTCTGAGGAATACCATAATATGACGTATGTCTGAGCCTTTCTCCCTATCTGTGAAAGTGGGAGGTGCCCTGGCGTTGCTCTGGCTCTCTCATCGCACCATCAGTGAAGCTGCCAGGTAACCAGAGTCTGAGCACGGAGTTGGAAAGGAGCCACGGGGTGGATGGCCCACGTGGGTTGTGGGAGCCCACGGCTTCTCTGTGTCTTGTTTTACTAACTCTGATGATGAAGGCCTGGCTGCCACCAGAAGCGGGGTTCCCGGGCCCCGTGATGCACGTCCTGTTCATCTTCCTCCGACCAGAGATGTCCTCGTCGTCAGCTACTGTTTCTCTTCCAAACTTAGTAATTAACTTGCCAGGGTTAGGAGAGGAGACTGTCACTTAGCTTCAGTTAATTGTTGAAAGAACAGAGAGGGGTCTGTGTTTCTACTAAAAGGGGAAAAAAAAAGGGAGGGATTGGAAATATTCTGAATGGGGGAACGCAGAAGGAAAATAAAGGTGATTTTCAAACTCAGTTTCTTCTCCCTTGTCTTTAAAGGTTTTTTTTTTGGCGGGGGGTGTTAGGAGGTTTTAAATCTGTCCTTAAGGAAGGATGTATTACTCAGAATAAATTGCCTCTAGATTGTTTTCCAAAGTCAGTTGTTAAAAAAAAAATTTTTAAATGTCAATCTGGTTAAAATTTTTTTTAAGAATAAAGCTTATCTGATTGTCAACCCAGGGTAGGTTACAGATAAAATCGAGGTAGTGGGCATGTTAGAATCTTGAGGGAAGTTTCTTTTGAAAAAACAAGTAGATATTTTTATTGGGAGAATGAAAAAAATGTGTTAAGTTTTCACATTACAAATTGCAGAGAGTTAAGAAAAATCTCTGATGAGGCTATGCAGAAGACAGGGATTCATAATTGAGACACATCTCCTCAAAATCTTCGAGGGACATGAGATCGTCCTGGTTGTCAAATAGGGGGATGAGTTTTAGAAGGTTGAAAAGTGTTGTATTAGGAAAATAGTGATTTTTTGAAAAGGCAGAATGGAAAGAGCTGGAGTGGAACTCAGGTACATTTCTGTGGGTCTTGCAAAGAGTGGGTTCCGGGAAGGGCAGGCAGAATGCTGAGGTCAGAGAAAGACTCGCAA